ATATACTAGAACTAAGCTCCTTTCACAAAGTTCATGCTCAACATTCTAACCTACTCTACTTTGCTAAACTAGGTATTCAAACAGCTTCAAGAATTTCAATTTTAGATAAATTAACAGGCAGATGGCATTATTTGTTGGTATAGAAGATGGTTTTTTAGCTGTCTGGCCAATTTATAACTTCCTCCGGGGATATATGCATTTGAAAATCTCTTTATTGTTAAATAACATTGACAATATCGGAAATAAAGACTGTCACGGCTGTATATTTGAAAAAGGAAAAAACTGACTGGAATTGTTAACATCATGTTATTTCAACTGGGTGTACAAAACTAAAATACCTACAAAACATCCAGAGAAATATTGCAATTAAACATAACAAACCACCAGTACTGACAAAACACTGCCATGCTGGGCTTTTTGAAGGAAACACACACACACACACACACACACTTTCATGTAGGAATTCACAAACCAGATTGTTGAAAGCCATAATAAGCTAAATAAATAAATAGGATATGGTGCATGGCAAATAATGCCAATAAGCTAAATATGGTCTTTTAGGCACTACTTTGAAACCTCTGGTCTAGACTTGCTGTTCAAGTTCATGTCATACCTGGGTTTAGAAGCACAGGAATTTCCCAGAACTGCATACTTTAGCAATTCAAATAGCTGGCCATAGGTTACCTCACAGTTTTCAGCAAATAAAACAGTAGATAAGCGAGGCTTCTGCAAACATATATCAAGAAACAGGGAATTAAATGTATCAACTAAAACAAATCATCAATTTAGCTTCTGGTTTTCTAAAAAGATTTATATATCAGGGCAGGCACTGATAAAGGTGCGACCATAATACCAGCATCCCATGAGAACCAATTCATGTCCCAGTTGTTCCACTTCTGGCCTAGCTTCCTCCTAATGGCCTGTGAAAAGTAGTGGAAGACAGTCTAAATGTTTGTGGTCCTGCCATTCATATGGGAGACTTGAAAGAATTTCTTGCCTCTTGGCACAGGCTTGGTTGTTGAGGCCATTTCAGGAGTGAAGGAGAGAATGGAAGATCTTTGTGTTTCTCTCCCTCTGTGTAACTTGACTTTGAAATAAAATTTCAGTAAGCGGGGCCAGTGCTATGGCAAAGTAAGCTAATCCTCAGCCTGAGGTGCCAGCATCTCACATGGGCATTGGTTCATGTCCTGGATGCTGCACTTCTGATTCAGCTCCCTGCTTATGGCCTAGGAAAGCAGCAGAGATGGCTCAAATTCTTGAGCCTTTGTATCCACATTGGAGATCCAGAAGAAGCTCCTGGCTCCTGGCTTTGGATCAGCTCAGCTTTGGACATTGTAGCCATTTGAGGAGTGAACCAGCAAATGGAAGACCTGTCTCTCCTTCTGTGCTAACTCTGCCTTTCCAACAAAAATGAACCTTTAAATTTTTTTTTCAAAAACAAAGAGCTTATAAACATTATAAGCTGTCTTATAAGATGTCCTGTCTAATCATTTTCTGAGGATAAACTCCCAATCAAAAAGAATATATATATTTACCATTCGGACAAATACTGATAACCCTAAGAATGCACCAATTTATTTTCATTAACCAACAATTTGTCAGACTGAAAAAGTGGGCCTGAGCAACCTAAGGATCTATATAGTTGCTAAGCAGCCATGTTTGCCAGGCATGAGATACGAAGAGCCTAAATCATATGAAGAGGGTGTCCTACAGGGGAAGCAGTGCAGCACGACGGAAGCCCAAGACACTGAGGGGTATGTGCCCATGTGATCATCCACGAAGGGGACAAGGGAGAGCAGTGAGGCCCGGCAACGTGGGGGGACTGCAGCAGCCTGTGGAGTGTTCAGAACTTGAACAGAGGGTGTCGTGTGAGAACGGTGGAATCTATCACAGGAATGACGATGGCACCTCAAAGGAAGGTGACATGGCACAAGCACGAAGTCCAAGCAGGGCGAGAAGGGTGCTGATTAAATATACAATAGATGATGGAAGTCAGGTTCCTCACTCAGATAAGTTACTAGTATAAACAGAAAACTAGAATGACCCAGGCAGCATTAGATCAGAAACAGATACTGGTGTGATCAGGGTTTTTAACATAAGTTAACACAGAAAAAAACTTTTAAGATTTATTTATTTTTACTGGAAAGGCAGATTTGCAGAGAGCATAAGAGACAGAAAGATCTTCCATCTGTTGGTTCACTTGCCAAGTCACCACAATAGCCACAGCTGAGCCAATCTGAAGCCACGAGTCTGGAACTTCTTCCAGGTCTCCTGTGTGGGTGCAGGGTCCCTTTGGGCCATCCTCCATTGCTTTCCCAGGCCACAAGCAGGGAGCAGGATGAGAAGTGGAGCAGCTGGGATAAGAACTGGCGTTCATATGGGATCTTGGTGCATGCAAGGTAGATTTAGCCATTAACCATTGTGCCAGGCCCAACACAGAAAAGTTTTGTTTTGTTTTTTAAGATTTTATTTTATTTTTATTGGAAAGTCAGCTATACAGAGGGGAAGAGAGACAGAGAGGAAGATATTCCATCCAATGATTTAGTGGCCCCAACAGCCGGAGCTGACCAATCTGAAGCCAGGAACCTGGAGCCTCTTCTGGGTCTCCCACTCGGGTGCAGGATCCCAAGGCTTTGGGTCATCCTCCACTGTACCGGCCAGCAGAGCCAGCAACGTGGACACGGAGAAGGTCAGGGAATGAAACACCGACAGGAGACCAGTAATGGTGGAAGAGGTCTCTCCGGCCTCCCTTTATTCAGCCATATATACTTTCCCCCCCAAGCCCCTAGCAGAACAATAGGATGCTAATGAGTCTGACAGACAAGGTGCCACTAGCCTCAAGCCCATTTCCTGTAAGAGCCAAGCTTAACAAATGCTAATCAACTCCTTTAGCTCTCAACACTCCACTGCCTTCCCAGGCCACAAGCAGGGAGCTGGATGGGAAACAGGGGTGCCAGGATTAGAACCGGCTCCTCTATGGATACTGGTGCATGCAAAGTGAGGACTTTAGCCACTAGGCTACCAGGTCAGGCCCACAGAAAAGTTTTAAATGTAAAGTTGTATTCATGTGCTTGCAAACATGTATATTCATACATATTCCTTAGCTCAATCTTTTAGGAGTTGTTGCAATCCCAACAACACTGAGCCTATGGAGGACCCAAACACTAAGTATCTAAATGTCACTCTGAAACAACCATGTATCCTAAAAGAAATGGTTAATTCCAGGGCTGGAACACTGAAACCAAAAGCAGTAAAATGTTTAGTGGTGGGAGGGGTGGGTGGTATACCACATAAAGTTGCAGTCTACAAGGCCAATATCCCACCTTTCCTCTCCTGGCTGCTCCACTGAGGATCCAGCTCCCTGCTATGGCCTGGGAAAACAGCAGAGGAGGGCCCAACGCAGGAGATCAGCAAGAAGCTTCTGACTCTTGGTTTCAGAGTAGCCTAGCTCCAGCTATTGCCACTATTGGGGGAGTAAACCAGTGGACACAAGAGCTCTCACTTTCATTCTGTCTCTTTCTCCCTGTAGCTCCTTCAAATAAAAATAAATATATATATATACAAAGAAAAGACTGAGGAACAGTCAGGACTTAAGTAGACATGACAACTAAATGTAATACATGATTATAAATGGTACCCTAAGCTGAAGTGTATTTGAACAGTTAGAGAAACTTGAGTGGGATCTAAGGATTAGATAGTAGAATGTGTTCATATGAACTTAACTAATTTTGGTGGTTGCACTGTGATTATGTATAACTGCAGGAAACACATATTCCAAAACTCAGGAGGGTAAGGACAGTTTCAAATGCTGGTGGGAGGTAGTTTTGGGGACAATTCCTGCAACTTTTCTTTAAACTTGAGATTGCTAAATAATGAAAAAAAAATGTGATTGCCAATCTCCCTCTTATAGTTCTTGCCACAGTAACCTTTGGAAAATTTTTGGCAATCTGATAGGCAGAAAAAAATCGCTACAATTTCAATTTTATAAAATATTTTCATAGTTTCAACTCCCTTCTAACATATTATGTAATGTATATTATCATTATACCTCTCTGTGCATTAGCACATAAGCCCTGCCAGGGGCGTGATCTCTGTTTATTCACTAATATTCACATGGTAGACAATAAAAAAAAAAATCTGATGAAGGGCTGAATTAGGTATATTTAGACTCAATAAAACAGCATGGATGATCAGCCTTTCTCCTTACTGAAATGCAAACATCCCGAAGCCTACAACAATCTCCTGGAACAACACCGCAATACCTATTTGTTAAATGAACATTCTTGCCACGTGCCAGGAGATGGCAATTTTAAATCACCAACAAGCCCTCGGGGAAGAGGTAATCGCATGGTACACTTCTGAGAACAGATTCCAGGAAGCCACTGGGGTCGGGGAGTCTGTTCTGGCCCCCCGAAAACTCCAAAACGCTCGGGGTGGGAGGGCCACCCTATTCGGGACTCCCGCCGCTCACCTTGGCCAGGGGCTGCCTCTCCTCCCAACGGCCTCGCATCGCGTCCGCCACCCCCTGAGGCTCGTTCGGGGCCCGCTTCCTCTTCCTGCCGTTTCTGGGAGGCCTCCCGGTCCTGTCCCTTTCTGGCTCCATAACGCTGCGGAGAAAGAATCAACTTAGAACGGAGGCAACTCGGACGCCCATATTCCACGACCCCCGGACGTTGTTAAGGGGAAAAGCAGCAGGAAACGGACAATCTAGAAGGTTCCACGGACAGCTTGCTGGAGGCTCAGTTTACAAAGTTCCCGCTACCCGCCCACGAAGCGTGGGTGGCGTCCACGATGCCCGTGTCAGGCAGCCCAAACGGCTTTAGCCTCGTCGGCTTCTGGGTTCCAATTCGAAACGGCTTCCCAGTCCGCGCCAACACGTACCCGCCCACCGGCCAAAAAAAAAAAAAAAGAGCATAGCTCCGCCCCGCGGCTTCCCCGCCAGAAGCCACGCCCCACGCTCCGAAATCCCGGAAACGTCTCACAGAAAGCCGAGCGGAAAATCGGACGCGCTCTCGCCTCAGCCGCCGCAAACGCCTCCTCCTCAGTCCCGACGCGCGGCTACTTTGAACCGGCAGGAAGTGAGAGACGACCGACTTCCGGCGGTTGGACTGTGAAAAGCAAGGGAGTGCCAGGGATGGCGACGAAGCGGCTGGCGCGGTACGAGGGAGGGCGGTTCGTGAGGAGGTTTTGTGGGGCCGGAGGGAGGAAGGGTCGCCCCTTGGTCAGGCTCTGGCGGCCGCCTCGTTCTCCCGCAGTCTCCGAGACTAGGACCCGTTCTCACGGTCTCAAGCGTAAACGGCCCCTGGGGGAGAACACGGAGCTGGAACGTCGGAGAGTGAGAGAGCCGGGAGCTCCGGGTTCTAGACTGTGTTCCTGAGCCGGGGTGTGCGCGTTCTAAGCCTCGAGGCGAGGCGGGACCTGTGCATGGTTCCAGAGTCTGGGGTGCGCGCTGCGTGCATCCAGCTGTGCAACCTCGCCGCTTTAAGGAATCAATCCCTAAGGTCGCCTTCCTGACTCCTGGGCACAGTGTGCCCGTGTTTGGATTCAGAAAAGCAGTAAACAGCTTGGGCTTTAAAGCTGTGGTTTTGTGTGTGTGTGTGTGCTGAATCCGTTTTCCCTACGCAGAAATGTCAGCCTCTTAGCAGGTGGTGCTGATTAAAGAAATCATTCGTTTCAGTTTAGAACCTGCTGTGTAGGTGAGTGGTCGGTAAATGCTAGCTAGTTATGTCCAAATCCCAGTATTTTCCTCATAACCAAAGCTACCAACGGCAGGTGTCTACCCGGTTGAAGCTGCCTGCTTGTTAGCAGTTTGACTCACCTGCGCTTAAGGCCTCAGCCAGCTCTTCCCTTTCTTTGACATTTTTACTTTGGGAAGCCTCATAAATTATATTGCAGTGATTTCCAGGATGTCTTGGTTTTTGTTTTGTTTTGTTTTAAACCCAGTCTTTTTTTTTTTTTTAAACTCCCAGAAGATCAGGCAGTGCCCTGTGTACTTAGCCATTCAGAACTGTGCAGGGATTAGAAAAAAAAGCCAAGCATAATTTAAGCCTTACCTATTTACCTCCTTTCACTGTAAAGGGTAAAATTAGCACAAGTTTGAAAAGAGGTATGGCACTTATTACAGGAAACCTGTGTCTTTTTGCTCCTCCATGCAAGCTCAGTAATTTCCTCTCACCACACATTAAAAGAGGGTTTTGCTCATTTAGTAGCTTGTTTAAAACAGGAGTATGCATGAATTTATTAAACACATTGCTATTTTGCATTTTTAGGCAGCTTGGCTTAATTAGGAGAAAATCAGCTGCACCAGCAAGCGGAAATCCAGGAAGAAGCAAATTCAGTAAGTAGTGTGCCTGATTTCTTTCACATCTTATAGCCTTGCACTTTCAAAACCAGTAATGTATTAAGAAGCCCTTACTCTTTTGCAGAGCAATTGTTTGATTACTTAATTGTCATCGATTTTGAGTCAACGTGCTGGAGTGATGGGAAGCACCATGGTAGCCAGGAAATAAGTAAGTGTGATGCCAGTAGCTGAAACGGGTCTGGATGAGTCATTTTAACTGGAAACATGCCAATAGCTTAAGAAAACAGAGTAGTCTGTGAATGGGTAGTGTTAAAATATGTGTATTAAAAATCTAAGGATTTCAGAAAAAAATCAATCTCACATGTTTAGCTTGTCATTCATGAGTATAAAATAACTGATTATATGGAAGAGTTTGTATATAAAAATAATTACATTCAGTTACATAGAAGAAGAAAAATTTGTACGAAAAGCACATTTCAGATTCCATATGGGCTTTAGATTTAATAGTAGACGTGCATGTTTTAAGTGTTCTTAACTTGAGCATTTTGCATTTTGGCATTATGTCACACTACTTTTGTCATTTTAATACGCTTTTACTGAAACTGTTTAATAAATGCTGCTATTAATAAGCTATGTTTAAGCAGACCACAGCAGTAATTTTTAAAGTTACGTATTTGTCAATTGGTGTTTCTTTGGTTTAGTTGAGTTTCCAGCAGTATTGTTGAGCACTTCCACTGGAGAAATTGAATCTGAGTTCCATGTGTATGTTCAACCTCAGGAACATCCAATACTTTCTGAATTCTGCAAGGAACTGACAGGCATACAGCAGGTATGACACAAATTTTAAAATTCAGTTGTCACCTTCAAAAAGAAAGTAAAAGCTACATACCATTTGGAACCAGATTTATCTTTTGTTACAAGGAAAAAAGGGTTAATAACAATTCTCCTAAAATCTTTACAAACTAAAAATAGTGGTCTCATGAAATTAGTTTCAAATTTGTTTTGTTGAAGGCATGCTGTACAGGAGTTCAGACATCACTCCCAACACAGCATCCTGTGTTAGGGTGAGGGTTGAATTCCCAGCTTCTCTGCTTCATATCCAGGTCCTCGTTATGTGCAAGGGACTGCAGCAGATGATGCCTGAGAACTTGGGGTCCCTGCCACCCACACGACAGATCCAGATAAAATTGATTTTGGTTGGGCCCAGCACCGTGGCCTAGCGGCTAAAGTCCTCGCCTTGAACGCACTGGGATCCCATATGAGTGCCGGTTCTAATCCCGGCAGCTCCACTTCCCATCCAGCTCCCTGCTTGTGGCCTGGGAAAGCAGTAGAGGACGGCCCAAAGCCTTGGGACCCTGTACCCGTGTGGGAGACCCAGAAGAAGTTCCTGGTTCCTGGATTTCTTTATTTATTGGAAAGTCAGATATACAGAGAGGAGGAGAGACAGAGAGGAAGATCTTCCATCCGATGATTCATTCCCCAAGTGACCGCAATGGCCAATGCTATGCCAGTCCGAAGCCAGGATCCAGGAACTTCTTCTGGGTCTCCCACACGGGTGCAGTGTCCCAAGGCTTTGGGCTGTCCTCGACTGCTTTCCCAGGGCACAAGCAGGGAGCTGGATGGGAAGTGGAGCTGCCGGGATTAGAACCGGCACCCATATGGGATCCCGGTGCGTTCAAGGCGAGGACTTTAGCCACTAGGCCGCGGCGCTGGGCTCCATTATGTTATTTCTGTCCTATTTGTTCATTTGTCCATCCATCCTTCCTTTCCTTGCTAAGCAGATTTACAGAAGGGAGACAGAGAAAAAGATGTTCCATCTGCTGATTCATTCCCCAGATAGCTGCAACAAGCAGAGCTGAACCAATCCAAAGTTAGGACCTTCTTCCTGGTGTTCCACGTGGTGCAGAGGCCCAGGGACTTGAATCGTCCTCTGCTGCTTTCCCAGTCCACGAGCAGGGTCCTGGATTAGAAATGGGAGAACCAGAGCACAAACCGACACCCATACGGTTGCTAGCACGTGAAGATGGGGAATTGGCCTGTAGAGCTTCGATGCCAGCCCCACCCCTGTGGCTTTTAACATTACTAGATAAACTCTTTATTTAGAACCTTTTCTTAATTATGTGCCCTAATGATACCTTTCTTACAATACATGCTACATAGTTCTAGAATTTGATCGGTGACTTTAGATTTTGTGAATCCCTCCAGGTTCAAGTTGACGAAGGAGTCCCTCTGAAGATTTGCTTATCTCAGTTCTGTAAATGGATTCATAAGATTCAGCAACAGAAGAAAATTATTTTTACTACTGGGACTTCAGAGCCTTCCACTTCAGAAGTAAAACCTTGTACCTTTGTTACATGGTCAGGTAAAAAATAAGTTATGCCTAGCAATAAGTGGGTATCATTACCATTTTAATTCTTCTAATTTTATACTTATGAACTAGAATGTTAACCATCTGGGGAAGAAAAAAAATCACATGCATAGAGATTGTTAATCAAGAAAGTAAAATTATTCATATTTTTAAAATTATTATTCCTGAATATCTTGAAGTTAGCTTTAGCTGTAAGAGTCTGTCTGTTCTTCAGAATCAAAGTAGATGATACAGAAAGAACAAATCTTGTTATGTTGTTCTCCGTGGCATTGAATAAAATGTCCAAATTTAACCTGCATCCTTTGCTTTAGTGCTTTGACTTGAAGGAAAAAAAAATGGACTGTTTAGTCTTTCCATGACGTGCTATGCTGTTGCCATTAATGCTCATTAATAGCACTGCTGCACCATTGGCAGCGAATCATGGACGTACTTGTTTTCTAGTTGCTATAATTTGATTTCTAAATGACATTAGTAAATTTCCTTAGAAATGATATATACAGCTTGTAATTTAACACTTTCCTGAAATAAGATATTATTGAAGCATTAACAAATGATTTTGAACCAGTCACCAACCTGATTTAATAATTACACAAAGTGCATCATTAGTAGTTATTAACAAAGCAGTAACTGTTCTATTTTATATCATCTACTAACATTTTGTTTATATATGATGTTGAGCATAAGAAAACAATGTCAGCATTGTTGACTGTTCTGTTTTGGTGTATTTGACACAGACTGGGACTTAGGGGTTTGTCTGGAGTATGAGTGTAAGAGGAAACAGCTGCTAAAGCCCATATTCTTCAATTCTTGGATTGATCTCAGAGCAACTTACAAGGTAAGAACCAACATGGCTGCACGTTTACTTTACTTCTACGTTTCGTCCCAGCCGTAAGCTTACTGATAAGATATTTTCTGAGTTTGGGCATTTAGCACAATGAATAAGACACTGCTTAGGATCTCCACATCCAGTATTGGAGTGCCTGAGTTCAAGTCTCAGCTCTACTTCTGATTCCAACTTCCTTCGAATGTGCACCCTGGAAAGCAGTAGGTGATGGCTCGGAATTTGGGTCCTTGCTACCCATGTGGGAGACTTGGATTGAATTCCTAGCTTTTGGTGTTGGCCTGGTGGAGCCCAGCTGTTATAAGCATTTGGAGAGTGAACCAATGAATGGGAGATTGATTTCTTTCTGCCTTTTGAATTAATTATATATATATATTTGTTCACATAAATATATTTCTGAAAGTATTTAAAAATTACATATTTCCAACCTAATGAAACTAAAAATTTAAGTAGTCAATACATAGCCTTTTAAATACTAATCATTCCTTTTCTGCTGTGTCATCTTTTATTTGATTAGCTTTTCTATAGGAGAAAACCAAAAGGTCTAAGTGGTGCCTTGCAGGAAGTGGGAATAGAATTCTCAGGAAGAGAACATTCTGGTTAGTATGAATTTTAAATAATTTTATTATATAAGTCTATCATAGTAATCTTTCACATTAACCTCATTTTTGGCAGTTTCGTTAATCAGAAATATTCATCCATGTAGAGAAAGTTCCTGATCTATAACAATTCAAGTCTGCAGTTAGCACTTTGATAATCTATTATAGCATAAAGACTGCCATCTGGTGGTGGCTTTCTGTTTGCTAAAAGCAATTAGCCAAGGGCCCAGCACGAAAGCCTAGTGGCAAAAGTCCTCTGCTTGCACGCACCTGGATCCTATATGGGTGTCAGTTTAATCCAGGCACTCCTACTTCCCATCCAGCTCTTGGCTTTTGGCCTGGGAAAGCGGGTTGGCCCAAAGCCTTGGGACCCTGCACCCACAGAGACCTAGAAGAAGCTCCTGGCTCCTGGCTTTAGCTCAACTCATCTCTGTTGCGGCTACTTGGGGAGTGAATTGGTGGACAGAGGATCTTCCTCTCTCTCCTCCTCTCTGTAAATCTGAGCTTACAATAAAAATAAATAAAGCTTTAAAAAAATTTTTAAAGTAGCCAAAGAAAATGTAGTGTGTCTAGTTGGTACAGTGGACTAGTGAAAAAATAGAATAACACTATTAGATTACTCATAAATCATAGTCCCTAAAGGTTGTTGGTCACACTTGGGGAACTGACAAGTTTTCACGTCCTTCTTTGTACGTATGGGACATATTTTATTGGTAATGCTGCCACAGCGTTGTGATTATTGTTAGTAAATGATTGTAAAACTAATAGTATAACCCAGATTCTTGAAGTGGGATATTTTCTGTTATAATTACTAAGTTCACTGTCTGATTCAGGGTTGGATGATGCTCGGAACACTGCCCTCCTTGCCTGGAAGATGATCAGAGATGGTTGCCTAATGAAGATCACAAGGTCATTGAACAAGGTTAGTGACATCTTGCCTTTTGGTTCTGTCATCTACAACTCCAGAAGCAGTTGTAGGTTCATCAAAATGTAGATTTCATGTGTGCAGTCATTTATAAATCAGTGATTTTTTTCTTATTTGTCACATCTGTAATGTATACTGAAGAAATTATGAGCGCAGTTTGTAAAGCTGTTGGATTTGTCTGTGGAATCATAGGTTCCCACTGAGAAGAATCCCAACATTCTGAGCAGAAATTTGAATAGAAATCAAGTTGAAGAAACCTCTTCCTGCAATGTTAACATCCAGAGGCCCAGCAGATGTGATAGGGAGCCTAAAAATACCATAGATTCTTGTGAAAAAGTTCAAATGAGGTCAGTTTGTATGAATTCTCCCAAGAAGTTAGAGCAGGATCACTCCAAACAGAAGGACAACGTAAAAGCCGGTTTTCACAATGTCAAAAGTTGCTTACCTCTTTTGAATGCCAAACCTCCTTCTTCTCTGGAGCAGCTGTCATCTCCTACCTTGAATTCATCTCTCCATTTACAGAAGCAAAGAAAAAACGACCATCTTGCATATAATACCAAATCTAAGTCTTTAACAACTAGTTCAGAATTAGTGCTTGTTCCTACCACCATTCCATGTGTTAATCATGGCTCTGATGTGGAAATGAGTTCTACTCCTGACTGTTTACCTGTGTTGACTGACTGGGAGGATGTAATTTTATTGCCAGCATCTCAGCCTGATCAAAGTGTAGATTGTATACCTCCCAATAGTGACTCAGGTATGTCTTTTAGTTCTGGAGAAAGATCAGTGGTTTTCGAAGAACCAGAAGTGCTAAGCTGTGAAAACTTGGAAGACATAGAGGAAACTCCTCAAAAGTTTGAGACCTCCAAATCAGTTGTGTACAAGAGTCCACACACTACTATTTATAATGTAAAGCAAACCAGAGATCTAGGTTCAAATGTTTCTGCCTTTAAGATACCCGGACACAAATCAAGTTCCTTCAGTACTGTTACTGCCAATGCATCTCATGCTTCAGATCTGGGAAAACATCCGCTTCACTTAGGTGGAAACAAAAGGAAGCCGTTTAGTCCCCCAATCTTCCTATCAGCAAAAAAACAAAACTTTAGTACCCATGAAGAAAAGCCTACATCATCTGATTGCTCTGTAGTAAGAAATTCTTCCCGGGAAGTTCTCTCCCCTGTATTAACGCCTACGGTTAACTCAGGAGAGCCTTGGAACAATGGGAAAATGACACCTCCTTTATGCAAGTGTGGCCGAAGAGCTAAGAGACTTATTGTTTCTAATAATGGACCAAACCATGGAAAAGTCTTCTATTGTTGCCCTACTGGGAAATACCACGAAAACAGAAAGTGTTGTGGTTATTTCAAATGGGAACACACTCTTCAGAAGGAAAAAGCCAACGGCATGGTTCTGTCTCTTTCCACAGGGCAGCTTGTTTTTAATTCTCCTGAAATAAACCGTATCTCTGACAGAACTTTTTCTGTTAAAAATAGTTTGAAACTAAGGCCTTCAATGAGGAACTGACAGACTTCATAGCCAAACTTTACTGTGATTTTTAGTGCAGAAAAGATTTAAGAACATGTATAAGCTCTCTAGACTAAAACTATTACACACATACATAAACTCAAACAGAAAAGATAAATTTCATCACCTTACACTTGAATTACCTTTTGTCTAATATTTGTATTCTGTTGTTCAAACATGAATCCTCATTGTTCCTTAAATTCCCAAATATGAATATTCTGATAATGTCTTATCCTACTTATGTCTTATATATTATTGTTGAAATTATATGTTCTTAAAGAACCATAAATGAAACATTGTGTAAATTATTAGGTTAAATGTAATTAACAACAATAGTATGACATCCTCCATTTATAGTTAGACCTTGAAACAAATATTTAAACTTTTTTAAAGATGTATTTATTTGAAAATCAGAGCTACAACAAATGAGAGAGAAAGATGCTTCATCCATTGGTTTACTCCCCAAATGACTGCAATGACTACGGCTGGGCCAGGCTGAAGGCTGGAAACGAGAGCCTCTTCCAGGTCTCCCACATGAACGGCAGGGGCCCATGCACTTCAGCCATACTCCACTGGCTTTTCCAGACCATCAGCAAGGAGCTGAATCAAAAATGGAACACCAGGGACATGAATCCACACTTATTTGGGATGCCAGCTTTGCAGTCAGCAACTTCACTTGCTGTGCCACAAGCTGGCTTCTAAACCATTTTTAAGTTATTTGAGTGAAAATATGAGTGATATGAATCTCTAGTCCATTTTATGGAAGAAACTTGCACTTTAAATTATTCTGATACTTTTTATTTTTTGAAAAGTCTTAAGAGTTGTTTGGTTTTATTTCATGATTGAAGTTTGGTTCTGGTTTTATATATCAGTATTTAGAATTTATTCAGCTCATATTTGCAAAACAATGTGGCAAATATTTGTTCAGAAGTTGTTTCTATACACTTACACATTTCTCAACAGTTAAGGAGAGAATTTTAACAAATTACAGAAACATGAACACTCATGGAGAATAATTTACTGCATGTTTTATTTCAAAATTCAGCCTTTAATATAACCACAAGATATTTTAAAACAATTTATAAACTTATTGCCACATTTTTGTATCGCCTCTGTGTAATTTTGTGACTTCTGCAAATTTATAAGTACCATGTTTGGACACTATATTAATGGAATGATTTTAAATTGTTTTCCACTCTTTCTTCCTTAGTTCATTCCTTTTTATCTTCCCACTGATGGTCTTTGGCAGCTCTTGAATAAATTCTACCTGTTGGTATGAAGGGGAGGAAAATTACCCAGATTTCCCTGTTAGATAAAGCCAGCTATATAGTAGTTTGGGCTTTATTTCTTTATTTATTTTAATGAATTAAGATAATTGAAAGATTAGGCCTTAGCTTGAGTTTTTGATGTCAAGCAAAAAGAGAAATGGGTATTGCTTAGGAAAATTCTCTTGATATTTAGCATTTAATGCAAGTCCAGTGACCCAAATGACTAGATGCATTAAATTAGGAGTTTCATTTTAATTTTGAAGTTTCTAGTTGGTGTCCAAATATTATTAATTGACAATATTTGGCATAGTTTGCTTGATATTTCATTAAGAAGGAAAAATATATCACTGATAGTTTCTAGAACACAGAAAACGCCTGTCACAGGATGCTTACCTTTCTGGGGTATTTATAGGGTGCTGTGGTTTGTTTTACATGCTCCTGGATCTCCTTTTTCAGTTGTTCTTGATCATGTGACTTGTATTCAGGGTTCAGAACAATGAAAGCCTTTACCACCTGTAATAAATATTTGAAACACCAGGAAGATGAATTGTATATTTTTCTTGAAGAATGTCTTCTTGCTTTCTCTAACTGGGAATCTTAAGTGCATGGTCAGGTGGGTCGGAGTGTTGAACATAATTTGATCCCAGCTCTGTGCTCTTAAGACAGCCAGTTGATTTCCACACCTCCTGGTGTGTATCCAATATAAGAGGAGTTCTGGGAATCCATCTAACTACATCTTGAAATCTGCTTTCCGGCCTGGTTCTGTTGTTTGTGCCTTTGACTTGCTGCCTATACATCCTTGCATAAGGTTTCCTCTTAGAAGCCTCTTGTGTAACGACCAAGCCTGTTTTTAGCCTAGCTTCTGGATCTTCTCCCTCAGTGTTGCTGTTATAAGCAGTAGTCTCCCCATTGGAAGGAACAGTTCACCAAGACCATGCTTTCTTTAGACAAGATTCTCATGACGCCAGCAACCTCTTGACTATGGAGGAAGGGCAGAAATGGTAGTGGTTTTGCTTTTAAACTGACCAAAGAAAGACTTCATCATTTTATATTCTCAGACTCCAGAATTTATCCTTTGAAATGTTTTAGGTAATCCAGCTTAGAGTTTGGGGACTTTTAAATTTCTTATTGAAAGGGCAGATTTTACACAGAGGAGAGACAGAGAAAGATCTTCCATACACTGGTTCACTCCTCAAGCAGCAAGAACATTTGGAACTGAGCTGATCCGAGCCAGGAGCCAGGAGTTTCTTCAGTCTCCCACATGGGGACAGGGTCCCAAGAATTTGGGCCATCTTCTACTGCTTTAATTGGCCACAGGGAGTGGGCTGGATGGAAAATGGAGCAGCCAGGACACAAACTGGCACCCATATGAAATCTCAACGATGCAAGGAGAGGATTTAGCTGTTAGACCATTGTACCAGGTTTGAGTTTTGGGACTTTAAATGGAGAAGAAAGACAGGCCCATCCTCCCTTTTAGCCTTTCATATGTGTATCTTGGAGCCTGATGCAATGGCTCACTGGCTAAATCCTCACCTTGCAAGCGCCAGAATCCCCCATGGGCACCAGTTTATGTCCTGGCTGCTCCACTTCCCATCCAATTGTGTATTTGGAATCTACCGTGTTCTCTCCTGAAACACTGTTATTCATTATCTCATCAAGAGGCGTGAGTCTGACTCAACTGGAATATACCAGATGACCAGCCCAGAGTTTGCTATGGAATAATGCTTCCCTGTAGGCGTGGTTCCAAGATAGCCCTCGTGACTCTTTTTATGATTAAACATCCTGTACTTAAGTGACTGAAAGATTAGGTTTTCAAATATTTACTTATCTACTTGAAAGACAAGAGAGAAAGGGAGCCAGATCTTCCTGCTGATTCACTCTTCAAATATTTGCAACTGCTGGCACTGGTCAAGGCCAAAACCAAGGGTGTATAACTCCATATGAATCTCCCATGGGTGGCAGTAGCCCCCAAGTATTTAGGCCATCTTCTGCATTTATAAGCACGTTATCAGGGGGTAGACGAGAAATGAAGCATCCAGGACTTCACTAATGTTCATGGGATGCCAGTGTCATAGGCAGCAGCTTAATCTTTGTGTTATGACACCAATAGCAAGCGAAAGCTTATTGAATTGAAAGATTCATGTGTCTAGCTTAAAAATAAGCTAGTAGGACCAACACTGCGGCACAGTAGGATGAGTAGCTGCCTGTGGTGTCGTCATTCCATATTAGAGTGCACAAATTGGAGTCCCAACTGCTCCATACCTAGTCTTGCTTCCTGTTCCTGTGCCTGGGAAGGCAGTAAAGGATGACCAACTTCCTGGACTCCTGCCACCCTTGTGGGAGACCAGACTGGAGTTCCTAGCTCCTCCTGTCCCAACACCTGGTGATTGCAGACATCCAACCATTTAGAACCATAGTGAACAGGTGGTTGGAAGATCTCTCCCGTCACCCCCATGTGTGTGTTTCCCTTTTTCCATTGTTCTACCTTTCAAATAATTTTTTCTTACATTTTTATTTTTATTGGTAAAGCAGATTTACATAGAGGAGAGACAGCTGGTTCACTCCCCCAATTGCCACGACTGCCAGAGTTGAGCTGATCCAAAGCCAGGACCCAGGAACTTCTTCCAGGTCTCCTCTATGGGTGCAAACCCCTAAGGCTTTGAGCCATGCTCTCCTGCTTTCCCAGGCCATAAGCAGGGAGCTGAATGGGAAATAGAGCAGCAGGGACACAAATGGGTGCCCATAAGGGATACCAGCACTTGGAGATGAAGATTTAGCCAATTGAGTCATTGTGCCAGGCCAAATAAATAACTTCTTAAAAATAATGGTTAGCTCATAGTGTTAGAAATTTTGTAAAGTTAAAAAATGCAACAATTTTAAGAAAAGCAAATATGAAAATGCACAAAAGAATATTGCCCAAGATTATAGATGGTAGTGGATTAAAATGATCAGTACCTGGAATATTGTCCTCATGCCTTCATTTTTTCTGGTAATTTTCCTGCAGTGACCTGACAGGACCTGATTTGAGGAAAGGCCCAGCCCAGCTAGAAAAAGTCCACTCCCAGGAACAAAGCTGCCTGTGACATGCGCCAGACCATCATTTGTGCATGGACATTTGACTTGAGAAATACCTGTATCTTCTGTCAGGAAAAGGTGCAGTCCACTAATGTTGGGTAAATACTCAAATTTTCTGCCTTACTCTGGCTAACCAACACCTCATACCTGTGTGGGTGCATTTGCTCACGTCAGCCCTTTGCTCTCTTAAAACACTGGAATAGCAAGTGACTGCCAAGCCAACCAGGGTCCTGAAGGCTCAGCCTTCAAATGACTTTTTAAAAGCAGGTGTTAGGTTGTGAACGGCTTTTAGTTAAGATATATCAGTTATTTTACCTCTCCCCTGATGGGGTCTGGGCTGCTCACAACAGCTGACTCTGCAACTGAAGGATGCTCAGCCAGAGCACTCTCCACCTCAAATGGTCCAATTCTGTACCTGGAGAATAAATGACAGCGTAAGAGTTCATGCAGGTTCACTCCAGAATGCTGATGGTCAGTTGACACAGATATATGCACAGGTGGAAGAGACTATTACCCAGAGGATAATATGACATCATCTGATCTTGCAACAAACCAGAAATATCCATCTTCATCCATATAACCTCTGTCTCCAGTGATATAGAAATTGCCTCGGAGAGTCGAAGATGTTTTTGAAGGATTATCCTGCAAAACAAATAGCATTTTTTAGTGTTACTGGGAGTGCTAATTCTTCAGTGAGCTTTATATTTTCTTGAAGGAAATAGAGACACATTAGAACGAACAAGAGCCCAAAATGTAAAACACAGATAAAAATTACAACATGAAGTGGCCCAACATCAGAAGAACAGACTGTAAGACTAAGCACACT